CCCTTATCAATGAATTCCCTGAGATGCCCGTCTCGTACCAGCTATTCAAGGAAGGATTTGTACACCTTACAGTCCTCTGTCAAATGGCCTATATCCTTGTGATATGAGCAATGGAAAATCGCATTCCTCGTCAATAGATCTTCTATCATCCTTGGGGGCCACTTGACGTAGGGTCTGTTTTTTTTTTATCTTGTAAAGCATCTTGTAAATGGGCTCCTTGAAGACCGTGTTCACCCCCTGGAAGGACAGGCAATTTGGGGGTGGAACAGGTCCTCCCCTCCGGACTGGTTGTTCCTTCTCTTTTTTTCTCGATGCCAAGACTCTGTTCTCGGGCATACTGGATTCTTCTTCCACTCGGGCATATTTGTTGATCTGGGCTATCAAGTCTTTCATGTTTGCTGGAGCTTTCTTGGTCAGAGACTTGTATAAATCGGTGTCCCGAGACAACCCCAACCTAAATGATGCCGCGGCTAGTGCCTCCGAAATTGCCTCCACCTCGTTAACCTCCTCCCAGTACCGGATGTCGTATTACCGAAGGAACTCCCCTCCCTTTCGTCTAAGCTTCAATAGAGCATCGATGACCTTTGATCTCTTGCTGCTGGCGATGAATTGAGCTTTAAAAAGCTCTGTCAATTGTCTCCAGGACCTGACGCTTTTAGGGGCCAAGTTCTCGTACCATAGTATACTTGTGTCCCCCAGGCTCATAGGAAAAACTCGACACAACACCCTTTGATCAGTATCATAGATGTACATCAACTGTTTGTAATGACTCTTGGGATCGGTCCTTTCGTCGTAGATTTTGAACCTTGGGACGGTAAACTTTTTTGACATTTCGACCTCCTTGATAGCCCGAATGAATGGTAAAATAACTTCGTCGGCATCAACCTCGGGCTCGGGGTTGTGACAAGTGGTGAGGTGCACTCGGGGATCCCCCCAGGGTCTTTTTTCTTGAGGCCCCCTGGGTATGGACTCCACTTGTGACTCGGCGACTCCGATGCCCTCGGGTATCCCTCGGTGGAGGTCCCACCGAGATAGGCTTGCTTTTTTGCCTGATTCTGATTTTTTCTTGGGGTCCGAGCACCCACTTTGACGGTTGCGCCCCTTGGGTGAGTGCCTAAGCCAGTCTTTCTTGGAGGGCCTTTACCAGGGATGCCTGGTTTTGACTGAGGGCCTGGTCCTTGCACTTGCGACTCCGCCCACTCGCGCTTGCTGATTGCTCAAAATCATCGAGCCGTTGCCGGACCTTGGCGTTTTCCTTTTCTAGTTGCTTAATGCGTTTGTCCATTCGCTTCTCCATCTCAACGATATCACAAGCCATAAGGTCATGCCCTCCCAAGGCCTTGATCCATAGGGAGCGCTCGTTGCGAGGAGTGCTCTCCTCCCCCTAACAGGCTCAACGGACCTGGTTCTAGGACCATTGGAAGCCGGATAGCCTTTGCGTTCCTTACACGCGCACTTGCTCCTTCACCCTAAGATCGAGTGTTCATCATTAGATGATCGCTACGGGGAAAGATGCTCAGATTCCCACAGACAGCGCCAAGTTGCACGGGATAATTCCTGTAATAGTTTGAGATAACAACATTTAGCCTGATGAACCTACAATGGTCACAGGGTCAGAAAAAAATGGGGTCAGGTAAACACTCAGCTTATCCCATTCGAAGCGTAAGTCAGTCTAAGATCAGGGGTTTTATCTCAATGAATAATCTTTTTCTGGTTCGAGTTTGCGTACATTTGTTCATTTTTCTGAGGAGTATTTACATCTGAATTAGCAATGATTGTCCAAGACCTCCAATCCCATCTGGACATTTAATGTCTGGCATACCACTCATTGCGCAATGAGTGTTCTCCACTCAACGTCTTATCCTACTCACTACTAGGATGATGGGACAAGCACTCGGCTCCATGCCGAGCATTTATGCCCTTCCCCGAGTATCTACATCCCTTAGATCAGCGTCTGCCCCGCAACTGAGCATTGAATACTCGGGGGAACAGTTCCTTGGGGAGAGCCGACCTCATCTACTCGGCGTAGTAGCTATTAATGCCTAGCCATCATGATAGTAGGCCTAGACGCTTAGAGTTCAGGTGTCTACAGACGCACATTTAATAGCTTTGTCACCATCACTCATTCCGCCATAAATGAGAGGTCACATCGTATTGAATAGGGTGCCAGCTGTTGTACTCGGCTCCTCTGGGACACCATATCTTGACTTACCTCCTCGACGCCTTTTGGACATCATAAGGGTTTTATTATTCCACGTGTCTGGGGGTTGTGTAATGAATCAAAACACACCTTGGACGACATTACATTCTAAAACCATTCATATCATGAGAGCACTAATATAATCCTTTAAGAAATAATACTTCATTTGTTATCCATGAATATTTACAACATTATCTAAAAGAATAAGTCCGAGTTATGGCTATTACATTTCAAAAATTAATTAAAGAAGCACAGCGGAATAAACAAAAGAAGCTAGACTACACAATGTTTCAAAAGAATGTCCTAGTCTAGTACAAAAGGAATGGAGGTCGCTTTATGCGTCCACTTTGGGATCCACACTCCCGTCCAGTGGAGTCTCCCAAGTAGCGGGCTCCTCAACCCTTACATCTTCCTCCTCAAGCGGGTAGTCTGAAAAATGTTAGCCATAGGGGGTGAGCACGAAACTCTGTAGAAAAATTCTCCCAAACCCATACAAGGTTTAGAAAAGCATTTAAAATGGCCGGTATCAATTTTAACATAACTTAGATACATTATTTGAAATAAATCAGTGACATTTAAAAAGGATCTCAAATTTATTTAAAAATATTACTTAAATGAATAACCGAGCACCACATACGAATAGTAACCATTAATTGCCATAACCAATTCCCAATAATTCTTTCGGTAGGTGGCATACTTTGTGGTAACCTCCACCCCCCCTTAGTTTACCTTTGATTCTCAAGCATCCTTATCGAAAACCTCTTGAAAATGGATGAGCATCCTTACATGGAACCTCTCACCAATCACTACATTATTTTTCAAGCATACTTATCGGGAACCTCTTGAAAAAGGGTGAACATCTTTACAAGGAACCTCTCACTCATGTGCATCACAAACAACCCAACCAAACATACAATTTCAACATTTATCTCAATTTACAAGCATCTATCCAAAATCCCCAAAATATATCATATAACAATTCCACAACCAACTAAGAAAATACATGAGATCACAATAACATCATTTTTTTACCCAAGACAAAGCACTAAGGTTTTAAAATCCATAATAAAGAAAGCATTTAGGAAGAAAATACATCACTCTCCAAAAATTAGGGTTTTAAAACTAGAAAGGAGATTTCATAGGTATTAAATCCTATTTTGTTCAAAACATGTAATCCTTACAAAAAGTCTAAGAGAGGATGATTCCATAGCATGTATATACCATTGATAGCCAAACACATACATATAAATACCCTAGCCTCAATGTAAGTGAATGAGAGAAAACCCCTACCTTGAATCCTTAGCTTTGGTGTGAAGAACAATAATATTTGATCTTAAATCACCCTTGAACCTCTTGTTTTACCTTTCCTTTCTTCTTCTCTAATGCTCTCTAGGGTTTCAAGAGGTGTGGGGGTGTGAGGGGAGTGAAGGAAATGAGAGCAAATGAGATGAAAATGAGTTTAAAACATAGCAGCCCTAAAAAATACTGTTCATAGGCTATTTTGAGTTTCTCCAAATTTACGATTTTGCCACTAAGAATCTTTAATTTGATCTATATGACTACCCTAAGGTTTGTCGACGTTCCGGATTCATTTTTAATGTTATTTTAACCTAAAAATATTTATTTTTATGATTTATCTCAAAACCCAAGTCAACATACACCTGAAACACTAAAATTTCTATTTTACCCATCCGAATCAGCTATTAATGAAGTTTTGCGATATTTGCAAATAAAAGGTGATAAAGGGTGTTTCTTAAAGTCTTTTATACTTATTTGAAGCCTAAAAGTACTAATTATTCTTATATTTTGATTTAGGATGCAAATGGAGACATTAAATGCAAAACGAAATTAATTGGACTATTTCGACATTGTTTCATTTTCTGAGCATAACTCTCTCATCCAAGCTTCGATTGAGATGATTCAAGATACTATGGAATGATACGAAAGAGATCTAAAACTTTCATGTTTTGAGTTTTGAGAGATATTGACTGCATCAAGATATAAATCGAGCTTGAAGTTGTAGCAGTGCACTGTTCACAACCTGTCTTCGTTCATTTTCCATTTCCAATTCATTACTAAGCCAACCAAATTCATCTCAAACCTCTCCAACACATATTTCTACACCAAACCTATTTAATACAAGTTCTAAGATCTAAAATTTCATATTTTCACTTATTAAAACCAGATTTCAACTATTATTTTTATTAATATTTTAAATCTCTATTTTTCAATCTACCAAATTCAAACACACATCACTACATATATCCACATTTTTTTTACTACAATTATTTACTATATATCTATATACATATATAAAAGAAAATGCGAGGTGTTACAGGTTGTAGAGCCACCTAGAGTCCTGCCATTGAGAATCAAGTTTTATAAATCAGTCAAATTTTAACCTTGGTCCAATGATACTTCTTACCTTTTAAAGACTTTACTTTCTTAAGGTCAAGGGTTCAAGCCTCTTCTCCTTCTCTCCTTCCCCTAAAAAAAAAATTAAAAAAAAAATATAACTCAACTTTGATCGGAAATATTTTTAAAGGCGGACAATACTCGAGTTAAAAAAAAATATTGAGATTAAATTCAAGCCAAATTGAACCGAGATTGCGGGTGTCATAATTTAAATTGAACCCGACATTGATCTCTCCATCATCCCATTCCGCCCGAGTCGCAATTTTAGAAAGAGAGCGGGGTCCGAAATTCAAAATTAAGAGCTGGCCTGCACAACAATCGCTTTATTATCCTCTTCATCTATCGAAGAGAAACAAGAATGGGCAGTGAAACATTGCAGAAGCCCCTTCAAATCAAATCCCGTTCTCTCCTCTAAGACGTCATTTTTTTGATTCAATTCAAATTTTAGATGGAGTTTCCTATGACCAACAGCTTTTCTGTCAATAAGCCTGCTTTATTCTTCAAACCCTCCAATCTCTCTCTACTCAATCAACACTCTCTGCTTTCGTTATCGCTATTGCCTTCGCATTTTCTTCAAACCCATATGAAAAAACCAATTATTTGTTCAAGAAACAACAGAAGGGGATCTGATTCTCAAAGATCTAGAAAACTCGTGCTCAACGCTGTCCATTTCATCGCGTCAAAGCTCAACGTCTTACCAGAGCCGTTGGATATGATGATAAGAGAATTTGGAGGTGGAAATGGAGGGGGATTCGGGTTTCGGAAGAGTTTTGGGTGGTCAGGCTTTGATGGGTGGGGCAGGAAAAAGAAGAAAAGATTAGAGTTCATGGAATTTGTCCTGTTGTGTGGTTTGGGATTGTGGTTGATATTGGGGAAAGAAATAGACGGTACTGTATTTCTGGGGGTTCTGAGTTTAATTTTATTTGGGGTTTCACTTAATGGTTCAAAGGGTGCAGTAAATCATTGGACTTCAGGATTCTTTTGTTGTGCTATTTGTGTTGGTTTGGGGTTGAAGGGACAGGATTTGAAGACATGGGTGAAAGCTTTTAGGCATAGGGAGATTGCAAGAAGAGGCATAAGAAGAAGAAGAGCAATGTAAGAGAAGAGCTACACCGAGAAGAGGCATAAGAAGAAAAAGAAGAACAATGTAAGAGAAGAGCCACACCGAGCAAAGGTTTACATACATTTTTCTTGTACTATGGTAGCAGTTCATTTCTTTCGCAATTTTGCATTTTTCGCAAAAATTTACATACATCTTTCGCAGTTTTGTAATCAACTTTTTAATCTGATTCAATTTTCAAAAACCTGGATTTGAATAGTTCCAAATAACAGACTGATAATTCGTTGGGTACTTTGTTCAATGATTCCCATTGTCTTGACACTCTCGAAGTGTGTAAACATTAATTTATTGGAATTGAGCATGAAAATGAAGAAAAAAAGATGCGTATCATATAAATGCGTATGAGTATTCGGGGTACTTGATCTCAAACCAAAGTTGAATTAACAAATCTCATACTATCCAAATCCTAGTGACTTGTCTCAAGAGAAAGAGTAATATTTTTTGAATATGTTGTATCTAAGGTATTGGTTTTTTTGCCAGGCTAATGATTCCTTTTCATATAGGCAAGAGATCAAGTCTAATCCACATAAAACTGTTAACTCCCAAACCAATCCAACTTTCAAGTTGGATAAATTAAATAGACTTCAATTGTAATCCAACTACTCATTATCCATTTGGACGGCCCATGGATTATGGATCGAGTCCTAACCCGATCCAATTTCCAACATCTCCCACTTCCATATGGGTTCTCTCTCTCTCTCTCTCACACACACACACACACATATATTTTCCAAATCTCTTCCATTACTCATCTCCTCATGCAGGAGATCAAACATGCTACCAGATGAGAAAAAGTAAGAAAATGAGGAGGGCTATATGAAGTCATCATCTAACCACCATAGAACATCACTCAAAAGTATCTCATCTATGCCCTAGACTTGCTCGCTATACTGGATTTGACACCTCTCATCCCTCACCAGCCTTCGTTCAGATTAGTGCACAAAGCGCTCAATTGTGTAACGTACTCATAATAATTTCAAAACTCTAGACTGACATAATTGCTCAAACTATGAGTCACAAAACAATAGTGTAATACGAAGTAGCCTTCCCTAGATCCTTATGCCAATACAACTAGACTCAACCCAAGCATGTCCCGTGAGATTGTATCGTCCATGGTCCTTGGAAAACATGCTAAAGTAGCAACATTAAGCATCATCTACATGACAGAGTTCTAGGTGTCTAAAGGCACAAGAAGGATCATCATCAATATTATGATCCAAAGAGCTCACAAAAGTGCATCAAGTTACTCTCTTATTTTGGTTGACAAAAGCACAAACAGTATGACATGTATGTTACGACAAAGCTCCCACTGAATTGGGCGTGTCATATTATCAAATATGTTGTACGAATCTAAGTCTAGTCGCTGTCAATGTTCTAACTGGAATGCTACAACCTAGTCACTCTCTCAGTGCTGTCTGAGGTCTCATATTTGGCTCTATTCAGGCTAAATGAAGCTGTGAAAACTCTTCATGTTAACCTTTGCAGGTGTCCAAACCTAATCACATTAAGGAGACATTTTTAATATCAAAAGTTATCTATACCTTTCGCTTGCTACTCTAATTAGCACTAAGGAGATTGCTCATGATCGTAAGCGATTGTAAGCATGATGACATATCAAGATAAAAGTGTATGCTCATCGATCAATCATTTAATAGAAAAACACAATAAAAGGAATGAAATATTATTATTAATGTCAATTAGTGTCTAAGCACATCAAATCCTACGACGACCCAAATCCCTAACATGGGAAAGGAAAGCATCTTTAGGAATAGGTTTAGTGAAAGGGTCAGCTAACATCTTATCAGTAGAAATGTGCTTTAAGACCACCTCCCCTTGCACAATCATATCACGAATGAAGTGAAAACGAATATCGATGTGTTTGGTTCTGCCATGATGCTTGGGATCCTTTGCATGTGTTAGAGCAGACATGCTATCACAATGAATCAGTCCAATATTATGCCCATGTGGCGTGATGTCTTGATGCTGTAATAATCTCCTTAACCAAACTACCTCGTGTACTGCTGATGAACTGGCAACATACTTTGACTCCATAGTAGATAGGGTAATGCATGACTATTTCTTGCTGCGCTATGAAATAGATCCTGCTCTAAGCAAAAAAACATAGCACATATCAGGGTGAGTACACATCATAGCATACATCAAACTCCCAATTGCACTTGCATATGATACTTTGGACATCTATCTCCTTTTTCCATATGTTTTAGGGCAATTAGGCAAGCCTAAGCACACGGCCCTTTCTATTGGAGTGTCAATGGGTTTGGAGTAGTTCATATAGACATTCTTTATATAAGTCTCTTGAGACAAATATAGAAGTTTCTTTGTATGATCCCTTATAACCTCAACTCCTATCACAAAATTTGCTTCATCCATAACTTTCATCTAAAAAATAGAGGATAGTCACTCTTTAGTGGCGACAATTATCTCCATGTTATTCCCAGCTTGAAGAATGTCATCAACATACAGTGATGTAATTAAAATTCCTTCCTTTGATCGTTTGACATATACGCAGTGGTCTTCCTCAATCATTTCAAAACCAATAGAGGTAATGACATAATTAAAACGGAGGTTCCACTGCCTAGATGACTTCACATATTTTGTACCTTTGTTATGACTATTGGAGGGAGAGAGAGAATGGAGAGAAATATAGAGAGTGGATAAAAGAGGTGGGAAAGGACATGAGAAAAGAGAAAAAAAATTATAAAGTATTTATATTAAGTTTCTACAGTGATGTTTTATATTTAAAGTATCACTGTAGCAAAAAGCTATTTTAGAGCATCTAAATATATGCTGTTGGAGCATGATTTTTATCTTTGGTTAGTTAAATTTTAGCTATTTTGGAGTTTTACATGTTCTGTTGGAAATGCTCTTAGACCCCAGTTGTGCAGTAATGGTATTTTAAAAAAATTGGGTAGTGTAATTCAATGTTATAACCTATAGGGGTCAAAATATTATTTCATGAGGCATAAGGGAGGTTAGTGTATGTATAGGATAAGAATGTGTAATTTCACCTTTATCTTCATGCTTTTCCAGATTTTTCTCAAGGAAATAAAAAATTTATGAACTTTGTCTTGATCTTAAGAGGTGGTCACGGGGGCACCCTTTTGTCCATGGCATCCCAATCTCTCTCAAAAATCCATTTCCTTTCTTTCTCTCCTTCACTCAAGGATTCTTTTCCTTTTCTTTTACAACTGCTGTTGGGTTCTCTTTGATTAAAGATTGGTAATCGGTCTGGAATCGGTCTTGAACTAGCAGGGTTAGAGGAAGCCCTTTCTATTGGTAAGGGATCTTTGCTAAATCGTAAATTTTCGTAGGTAGCAAAATTTCTTAGCTTGTTGGAATTTTTGTGTGAGGTACACAAATTCTTGGGTTTAAATATATATTGAGCACATATAAGCAAGGTTAGTTTAAATCTGTGTTTTAAAACTCTGCCTGGCCCAACTCGGCTCGGCTCGGCGGATCAACTCAGAGAATCGGTGCCTGAGCGGGGCCAGTTTCTTGATTGGATCGGTCGAACAATTGGCCCATTAGAGAACCGTTCAAACCGGTCAATATTTATGAACCCGTTGGTTTGCACAAATCTAAAAGATCCATCTCTTTATCGGAATTTAAATATAAATATTAGTACTTAGCTTTTAGTGGGTCCACTACTGACAGTGTACCATGCTATTAAAGCCAAAGTCACCGGCTATTGCTCAGAGCTCAATGACGTGAATTTATAAGGCATTTAGTACTCAACTCTACTTGTTTGCTTCGATGTGGGATGAGATGTTAGTGTATTTAAACAGTCATGAGCAATTTTTCTTTTCAGTGTACATTTGAGTTACTTTTCTTTTTCTTTCAATTTTTCTTTTATTTTTTTGGGGTCATCACATTGTTATTGTTTTATCAAATATTCAATACTTAATAGTGAATTTTTTTATATTCTATCAAATTATAACAAACATGTGTAAACAATTAATGAATTGAAGATATTTGTCTTTTTATTTCATCTACGATAAAATAAAACATGTTATTTTTATAACTATTATATAATATTTTAGCATATTTACTATTATTTCTAATTATTTTTTATTATTAATTTATGACCGATTGAATCAGTGACCCAACGGTTAAACTAGTGACCTATTGACTGTTGGGATTTAATACGTTTAAAATCCATAGACAAACACACACAATTGAAGAACAAACCAAGAACATAAAACAATAAGAAACAAGAAAGAACAAGACATACAGATTTTACGTGATTCTGCAATTTGCCTATGTTCACGAACAGTGTTTTGAAAAGCTCGCCTAGGCGAGAAGCGAGGCGAGGCGAGCTTATCTCGCCTGGAGGACCCCAGGCGAAGCGAACGTGAGCGAAGCGAGAAAAAGCGAAAAAGCGAAAAAAGCGAAAAAGCGAACGCTTTATTATAAAAAGCAATTCTGCTTCACTTTTTTTTTTTTTTTTTTTTTTTCTGATTACAGGTTAGTAGTCTCTTTTATTTTTTAATCACTAATGACTTTTTTTTTTAGACTATTGCTGGTCTATTTTTTTTTTCTAATAAACAATGTTTCGAACAAAACACATTCCTTTTTTTTCCTTGTGTTGCTGAATTCATTTAGAATATTTGTGGGATGTGGGAGTCAGGCGACTACACTGCATGACAATTATGATAAAAAAATAAAGCAGGAGTATCAGAAATGGGGGTAAATAATAAATTCTTCTACAAAGAAGTGTCTCTGATATGTCTTGGTTATACTTTTCTCTTTTCTTATATATATACAAATGGTACCAAAAAGTGGTCTATGCTTATACCATGTTTAATTATTTTAGTACATGTGAAATGTGCCTCTGTTCTGCTTTTTTTTATTCAGTATATAATTACATATGAAATTGTTTACAATTGATTCTGCTCCTGTCATGATCATTGTGCTTCTGTTTTTTTTTTAGCTCATTCTGCTTCTATTTTTTTTTTGTT